GAAAAAAGAAACCCATCAGGTGAGAGATATATGCCAATAATTTCTTTATTATATTTCCGCGTGTTTTTGTTATGTTTGATTGTTTGGTACAGTTATAGAATTAACAACGAAAAATTTTCGTCAGAAATTGGGGAAGAAAAAGAATGATGTTATATGGATTGTTGATTATTTTGCTCCATGGTGTGGGCCGTGTCAAAGATTAGCACCTGAATGGTCAGCCGTTGCAAGATCGCTGAGCGCTTTATCCTTTGTAAATGTTGCCAGTGTAAATTGCGAAACTGAGGCTTCCTTATGCACATCCCAAGGAGTGCGGTCTTATCCAGATATTAGAATATATCCATTAGGAAGTGAGGGTTTAAACACAGTCGCGTAAGTCATTACACGTTTTGTATATGTTCAATTATGCATTCGTTACATAACAAATGTCTCAATATACATTCATAATTTAAGTTTTTATTATTACAGCTTGTACAATGGGCAGCGAGATTCGTTATCTATGTTAACATGGATAACAACATTCTTCCCAAAGAAAATCCCTGATTTAAATTTTTCTGACCTTCAAAAGTTATTGAACAGCAGGCATAATTTGATAATCTATTTTTCTTTACCAAATTGTCATCATTGTCAAAAGTTGCAACCTGAGTTTGCAATTGCTGCTCAGGTAAAAATTACTTCACTGTAAATAAAACCAATTTAACTTTTACAATCTATAATTCCTTTAGTAGCCATATCGATTATAAAATTTGTTTAATTTCAGTTGCTGGATAAAGTGAAATTTGGAAGGATTGACTGTTCCTTCTATATACATAAATGCGAACAACATATAAAACAAAGTATACAGGTACAATATATATCCTTTCCAACGCTAATATTATATAATTCTAAGGAAAAAAAACGAAGTAAGCACAATAGCGTCGAAATTGTTGCGAGAACGACTCAGAAAATCACGGATGAAATTTTAAATATTATTAATTCTCGCGCAAAACATGACGAACTATAATAGACAAAGTGCCTAAATTGAATTTAAGGCTTTTATTTTGTAGTAATAGGTGATTTCTTTCTTTCTTTGTAGTATTATCATTGCAGTCATACATAAATTCTTTCTTCGCAATGAACAAATAAATTTATTTTTTCGTATATCATCACACAGACTTTGATATAAATTGGGAAAATATAGGATTGATTTTTTTCAGTATATGAGTTAATAATTAAATATATTTAATTATTAGTTACTCAATCATCTGTTATAATATTCTATATTTATAAAGCCCATTTTCATTAAAAATGTAGGACATATGCAGATTGAAATATTTACTTATTTTGTAGAATATATAATAGTGTATAATGTATATTTAGCAAAAATTTATTATCAAACATACAAGTAATGGCATAGAAAAAACTAATTTATTTCAATACAAGAAAGAAAAAAAATCACATAATTTCTTGCATCTGGCATCATAATTTAACTTGCTGAATTGTTGCAACGAGGGAATAGAAATTGTTGACAAATTTTAATAATGTACTTATTTATAATTGATCTGTTGCTTGACTGCTACAACTGGTACTTGGTTTATCCTGACATGTTCCATGCTTCCAAAGGGAACAAAGAAAAAATAGATTAGATATATTTTTAGTCTTATTGTGATATTTTATACATTTTATACATTTTGTATATATTATTATATATAATGTACATATAATTAATATTATATACGTATATAATAATATAATTAAATAAAATCTAGATGAACAAAATAATTTGAAATCTCAAGTATCAAATTAAAATTTTTATCACAACAAAACTCTTTTCCAATACTTATCAGAGGTTTTGTTTGTACAGTAATAAATATGAATTTGAATGAACTTTATTAATATGAGGTAAGTGAAAAAAGTCTTATTTTCTAATATTTCTTATATTTTTAAGATGTTATTGAAAAATTAATTTCAAAAACAAAATAAGTACAATAGCATCGAAATTGTTGCAAGAATAACTGAGAAAATCAAGGATAAAATTTTAGAAATTATTCTCACATAAAACAAGTCTATAAGACACAAAATATCTAAATTGAATTTAAGGCTTTTATTTTGATTTGAGTCATATGTGACTTCTTTCTTTATAGTATATGATTTTATCATTGCAGTCATGCATGCATTCTTTCTTCGCAATGTACGAATAAATTTATTTTTTCATATGTCATCATACAGACTTTAATATAAATTGGGAAAATATACGACGATTGGTTTTTTCAGTATATGAGTTAATAATTAAGTAGACACTTAATTATTATAGTTACCTAATCGTCTATTATAATTCTATGTTTATAAAGCCCATTTTTATTGAAAATGTGCTTTTATTTATTTTGCAGAATATATAATGTACAAGATATACTTGTATATCTAGCAAAGATCTATTACCAAACATGTAAGCGATGGCATAGGAAAAACTAATTTATTTCAATACAAGAAAGAAAACATTCACATAATTTCTTGCATCTGGCATCATAATTTAATTTGCTGAATTGTTGTAACAAGGCAATAGAAGTCGTTAATAAATTTTAATAACGTACTTATCCATAATTAATATATCGCTTGACCGCGACAACTGGCGCTTGCCATTTATCCTGATATATTCCATGCTTTCCAAAGGAACAATGAAAAAGAACAGATATACTTTGTCCTTTTGTGATATTTTTATACATGTTTTATGTACATAATAATTAATAAAATATTTATGAATATATATAATATTAATAAAATTTGAAAAATCTCAAGCATTAATTAAATTAAAAATTCAATTACAACGAAATTCTTTTTGTATCTTTATCAGAGGTTCTATTTGTACAATAAGAAACATGGATATCATGAACTTCATTTATTAACATGAGATAAACCAAAGTTCTTATTTTTTAATATTTCTAACATATTTTTAAGTTATTAAATAGTAAGTTTTTACGGTTTTCTCTTTTCATAAACGTACTAACATTTAACTCGATGAAGTCTAATGAGTTTCTAAAAATAGTGTCCATAAGTATAATTGTTACACAAATATAAGAATTAATACAGAGATAAATACGCTATAAAAAACTCTGAACCATTATGATTCCGTGCGTGTTTGTCGTTGTGTTTAAATGCAATATATCCAAATATTTTATATATAAAATATTTTACATTTTACACATGTAGATATTTAAAATTATTTGTATAGTTTGTTTCAAGATTTATAAATATATAAATGAATTGAATATCGAATATCAAGATGTCTAAACGTGCTGTGCTTCTTCTTTTTGTAAGTTTTTTCTTTTCATTTATTAATTACATTAATATGTACTCAAATAGAAAATATAATTCATTTTTCCAATAGTGATAAATTTAAAGATGGAATGTATTAAATGAAGAAAAGCAATGCAATAATGCATTTTCATGCGTAACAAATATGCACTTTGAAATTGTTGACAAGTAAAGTTAAGTTTACTTTATATATCATTTCTGAAAAATAATCTTGCTTTGATTACTTTTATCTTATATTATCATTTAATATAAATTTAAGATAAATACTCTTTCAAATAGAGTATAAGTAGGTTTTAATACAAATGTACTTTCTGATATCACATAAACTCGCGGCATGCGAAGGCAGTGCTAATAGAAAAATGCAATTGAGAATTAAATAAGTAACATTATAACTGTTTTTACGGCGTATATAATTAAAGCATAATAAATACATAACTTTCCGAAAATCAATTTGTTTGAAACAGAAAAAAGCTTTTTAATATCAAAAGTTTTAAAAATAAAATAAAAAAATTGTGTTAACTTTTTTATATTGCATATGTGTGATATATTTGTAACATTAAATCTCTGATCGATGTCGCAAAAGACGAAACCTAACAATTACAAACAAATCTGGCATAATTCCATAATGTAATGAGTATACAATAAACATAGGCTGCATTAAATTAGTTTAAACAAATTAATAATTTTAACTTAAAATAACATACATTGCATATTTCTATCTATTAGCAAATAATACAGCGAAAGAAATTGTGTTTTTGTTAAAACTTTGAAACAGAATACTTTGGTTAAGTTGATTAAGTTTCATTATAGATCTTAAAGACAAAACATTCTAACTAATATACAAAAATGAAATAAATTCATTTAACATTTGTTTGTAATAAAAATAAATTATTAGACTTTATTAGGTTTATTCTTTTTTTCAGAATATGCAAAATCTATATTTTTTAAATCCAGTCTTATTTTTTTCTGTATTTCCATATCATTTATCTTCAATTTATCATTTCTTTTTGTATAGAATATTGTTAAAAAACTTGGTTCAACTTTGGAAACATAGTCTATTAATTGTAATATTACAAAATAAATTTATTAATTTTGATAATTTATATTATTTCGTTTCAGATTTTTTTCCTGAAAAGTATTTTCAGAAATTTTAATGTCATATAAACTTATTGTGTGTATGTCGAGAATATGTTTCTAAAGTTAAAATGTACTTCTCGAAAATATTCAGTAACAATAATGCGTACAACTTTTAAAAATGTGTATAACTTTTAAAAAAATCTATTTGTTTTTCTTAATATATGACAGTATCTCTTATTCATTAATTAGCGACATTTCGTAATTCAAGACACACACATACATATAAAAGAATTTTGAAATTATAAAGCATAAATATAACAAGATTTTTGTGTCGATGTAATAACTTGATATCTTAAAAAGAAACAAATGTTCTGAAATTATATATTATTGGGTCAGTATAAGCATCGCATACTATGTGTATAGTTTTGTATACGTGTAATTTCTATACATTTCGGAAAAATATTGTTTGATAGACAATCATATGTCCTTATAAATGTTAATCGCTGATTAATATTGCACTAACTTTTAAAATGCAAATATATATATTCTCTGACGTTGATACATTATTAATATAATATAATATACACATAATATGATACAGCTGATTGTAAAAGTATAATTTTATAATTCTCGAACCTGTAAATTGCTGGCAGTAGCACACGACTAATAAATCGTGTTAATATCCACCATCTCGTGGTTCCAAATGTATGTTAACCAATTGTGAACCATGGATAAATTATAATTTGTATTATAATACAAAAAATGTATATTATGTGTCACGTTTCGATGGCGGTATTAAATGTTCTGGTAGCTCAGCCGGTAAATCGTATCCTTCGAGCTTTATATTAATTAGATGCATGGCTAAGGCAAATTCGTCAGAGTCTAAAAATCCATCTTTATTAATGTCTGAAAGCTTCCAAATCTTTCCAAGCACGCTGTTTGGCAATTTGGACTTGACCATTTCTGATTTGGCCGCTAGTAATATAAAGTTATACATAATTAGAATATTTTATTTCAAATTGTCACATTTATATAAATATTGCATATTTATATAAAAGTGTTTATATAAATCCTCCTAATTATAGTAGCAAAAAATACGGAGCTATATAAGTAAAAGCAACTATCGTTTCTACAAATTTATCAGTCATACCTGCTCCCGTAATTTTTCCATCTTGTGGTCCAAGTGATTCAAACATGCTATCATATTTATATCTTTCTTTATTGACAATCCATTCTGGTTCACCTGCACCCGCATCAATTCCTTCTCCTCTTTTATATCCGAATGGACTAACTTGATCTTTTACACCTTCAAATGCTCCTCCTAAAATTGAGATATATACAATTTTTTCTATAAATTTAGAATATGTAAATACCATATTGTATATATTTTCTTGTATTAATTTTTTAATTAATTAAATTTAACTTTTAGCAAAAATTTTATGGAAGATTCAAACAATTTTTTGGCAGTATTTTGTTTCAAGATTTAAAATTTTAATGTAAACAAACGTTAATAAATACCTGTAAGTGTTTCCGAAACGGTGGTGACTTCTTCATGTGGTATCATAGCCATAAGCTTCGCGATATCTTCAGCGAGCATTTTATCCACTACTTCTAATAACTTGGGCTTCAGGGGATTAAATTTATTAAAATCGTGATGTGCTAAGCTCTCTTGCATCTTCTTTAGATCCGGAAAATCACCAGGTGAAATCTTTTGCTCCCTTTGAATTTGATCGTAAGTCTGGCCCAAATTTTTTATTAGTTCTTTTTTCTTAGTATCCTTACCAAACATACTCGGCATATCTTTCCGCAAAGCACTTATTATGTACGCGTGTACCTATAAATTTTTAATAAATTTTGATGAATTTTATTGATGTAAGAAACATTAGAGTCTCATCATGTATATCTAATTTAAGACTTTAAACTGGAGAAAGAAATTAATTCTTTGTTTCATATACCTTTGCTAAGCGTGCACGTTTAATTAAATCATTAAGTTTTCTTAATGCAGCATTTTTTGGAAGCGATTGCATATCTCTGAATAAATCTTGTTCTTCATCTTCAAATAGTCTAAAAAGAAGATTCACAAAACTTTTAAATATAAAATATTAATACAAATAATTATGTAATAAAAATAATTAGAAGGTATACAAGCACTTACCTTCTATTAACATCATATCTTAAGGGCTGATCCCAAAATGAGCCAATATAAACTCTAGCTACTTCTGGAGTTTGTAATACCTTTCCTAACGACCACATTAGAGCACCATATACTCTCATGAGCTGTTGATGATCTATCATGTCAGCTTTATTAAGAACAATTCTAATTTTGTCATCATGTCCACGTAAGGCCTCGATAGATCTGCGGAATTCATCTGAGATATCGAGCTTATGAGCATCAAACAATAAAATAATCCTATCTACGCGTTCAGCGAACCATTCTAAAACACCAGTAAAGTCATAGCCTCTGTCAACCTGAAGGAAATATTCAATATACATTTATCATATCACAAATACATATATATCTTAATAATGTAAACACAAAACTACAAAAGCAATACCTACTCTTTGTTTCTCACCAGATAATATACCAGGTGTATCTACTATAGATATGCCTTTCAAAACAGGCGAGGCTACAGTCGAACACTGAAATCTGTTCAAGAATGCATTGCCGAATTTTGAAAGCGGCCTGAACTGTTTATTTGGATCTACGACCAAGGCATTTCCAGGAATGACTCCTTCCTTTTCATCATACATGACAGCGATAAATCGATCTGTAGTAGGCTCTGGTCCGATTCTGATGCCAGGAAACTCTCTTTCTAACAGATATTTGATAAATGTGGTTTTGCCAGTGGAATATTGCCCAACTAGGAGAATCATAGGTTTTGCATCAAAGTCAGGATCATCAAGTTGTGGCGAATGAAAGTCATGGAACTGATAATACTGTTCCAATGGTAATAATTTTGATTTGTATATCCTCTTAAGGCCTTCGGTGACATTTTCGAAGAGATCTTGCTTGCTATTCTCCTCACGACTCAGCCAGCTAAACATGTTGACAATCTGCAACAAATTAAGTTCTATATTCTTGCTAATGAACTTGTTATCACGTATTTGTGCACAGTCTGAATTCCAAAGTCTTGTCGCGTTAGCATTAAGTAACACCGTGTCCTGTTAATTACGTTTCCTTTGTTCGAGCTATTGTAAGTACGGATTGTGACTCATTGTCAGACTACAATTCTAGACTAGTCGTTCCGGACTGATGCAAGACGGCCTACAAAGGTTAATTGGTTGGTATTAAGGTTATCACAACAATTATATCAGACTATACTCCGCCTCCAAATTCCACGTTTATGCCTTTGAGACGTATCTTTCAAGGTAGACTGAAGATAGACTGGAAGGATATTGCATGGAACATTGTATCTACCTTCTGAGAACTCGGTCATGCTTCTAAAAAGCAACTTATCCGTACCACCTTCTTTTATGATATCCTATCCAGCACCTCCTCCTTACCTCCAAGGAATAGTTGAGATCTTAAATACTTGAAGTGTGCAACGCAGAGTGAAATGCAAAAATGTAAATGAATGTGAAAAGGAACACGTGGACGGGGTCTAAGTAAAGGAAGAGAGAGGGAGAAGGGGAATCTAGAGAGCACCGTCGAACACCAACCTTTGCTCGTATCCGTCGGTCAAGGATGAACGGGTGCGCTTGACAGAGCGCGACGGACGCGAGGGCGAGCGCAGACTAACGGGAGAGCCGAGAGCGCGGTGGAAGGTAACGCTCGGTCAACCAAGACGATCCAAGGTGGTCCGCTGCCGACGTGACGTATACACGATCCAAACCGATCGCGGAAGAGTACGCTGAGAACGAACGATACGGACTTCCGGAACGGAGGTGGTGGTGGTGGTGGTGGTGGTGGCGGCGACGTCGGTGGTGGACGTGGGTGGACGTGGTGGTTGACGCTCGGATTTCTGCCACGATGCTCACCGAGTCACGATCTCCAGCGGTGACGTAAACGGCGGTGTAACGGCTGGTGGAAGGCGCGTCGCGCTGCGCGAGCAGCTCGGGAAAACGAGCGATCGCGAGGCGGAGCCGTGCCCGATAAACCGAGACTGATATAGAACGCGCTCTTGGAGAAGATAGACGACGCACAGCTCAGAACGACGGCACGACTCTGCGACAACTGACAGGTTGTCGACAGCAACCACTGTACGACATTCAGCATTAGGCTCAGTCCGCTCAGTGCCGACAACTGACAATTGCCAAAGCGCATATGAGAGGAGGGGTGATGGGGGAGGATTGTGCTGACTAATAGGACATACCCCGAGTTCATACATTATGAATCGTTTTAATGCTATGTTAGTTGAATGAACAGTTAAATTAGCAATCAACTAAGTAATAAGAATAAATTCTTATTACTGTAGGGAAAAATAAATAAATTAATATATTTACTACTAATTATTATTACTATATGAGTAAATAAATTAATTAACACAACTGATGAGTTTATTGAATAGAAATATCAATAAATGTTATACTGATTTTTTAAATGAATATACAAACACTTAAATTATTTCCCGTTAAACACAAACTAACAGTACATTACATCAACATTATGATTTCTTATTTAACTTACAATTTAATATAACTGTAACATAACACATGTTGTACATATATAACAGTTTACATTATTATTACTAAGTAGGAAACTATAACATTGATGTGTAATAATGTTACTGTTAGCTTGTGCTCGAGTTAGGAATAACTTTGGGCACTGTGTGCGCAATGGAAGATATATTAAAAATAGGAATAAGTATTAATAAATAGATAATAAATAGATATTAAATATTATAAAAATAAAATTAGGAGCAGAGATTGAATTTAAATCACAATAGATACAAATAAGATATGATGTGTATATTAATTCATGTTTGTATCCACTGTGTGTTACTTTTAATCTCTATTTCTAATTTTTTTATTTCTTTAATATTTAATATTTATTTCATTATTTATTTTTTAATTTTTTTCTTTATTTATAAAAAAAATTTTCTATTATTTCCTAATATTGCTTTCATTGTGCGCAAGATTTTAGGGTTCAAATGAAAGGTATAAGGAATAAAAACAGGGAATAATACAACACACATATACACATTCATCAGAAATTACTGTGTATTGTAATGCACAATTTTTAATAGCTCTAATCTAGGTCTAATCTATTGCCTGCGTGTTATTCTCTGTTCCTTATTCTTTTCATTGTGCCCTCAATAATACGAATAAATGAACGAGTGAATTCATTAATTAATGGATCTGTTCTTTGTAGCAGAGAATACTCGTTGTACACTAAAAATTAAATAGATAGATATATATTTGAAGTTTGGCGAAAAGAGAAAGAAAATGCAGTCCAGTGACAAAGAATAAATCTAATTAATATAGCTGAGTTTAAAATTAATTGGACAAAGAAAAATGAGGAGAGTGGGACCGATATTCAGTTCTTATTTTAAGCTCGCCTTAAGTACAATCTTAAGATGTTATAAACCAATCATAGCGAGCCATGTTAGTATCTTTAGATAAGATATTACTTAAGATGATCTAAATAAAAAATGATTATTAATATCGGCCTGGAATGCGGAAATCGGCTTGGAAATCTTAATTAGAGATTAATTTTTACGATTTAAAGTTAAAGTTTTATCTTCAATCTTGAGTGAACAAGGCTTAAGATTAACTTAAAATTAGTTGCTGAACGCATTCAGTTGCCGAAGTGCGAGTTACGTGCGCAAGTTCAGGTCGACGACAGGTCATCGATAGTTTCATAATTCGCGATCGAACGCGCGTGCTTTATCGGAGGTGTCTCATCGTTCTTCGCGTCGGGAACAAACGGAAAATAACGTATACAGAAACTTCGCTGGACGCGAAGAAGAAACGTAGAAATGTGAGATAACAGATATCGCGTACTTAATCTCCACTATTTTCTTTCTTATTCTATTTCTACTATCAAACGTGACGCGACGTGCGTGCTTGTGAGATTTCGGTTTGTGAGAGCCCGACTGATTATTTCTCTCTCGGTAAAGTTTTCCGCTTCCAGACTTCCACGATTCTTTATTACACTTCGCAATTTTCATTGCGAAACTAAATTAATCATTAAAGCATTCGCGTGGCATTCCCGACATTCCTGCATCTTGAATTGCATTCATCGGACGCGTTCCCGCGCGAAGTTGGGCACTCTCGGTTCCGGCACGAAGTTGTCGAGTTCGGTTCCTACGATTATTTTTCAAATTTCGTTGTTTCGCAGTTCTAAGAGAGTTGTCAGCGCGATGTCTGTCGATGGATTAATTGCCAAGTTCGATGGAAAAAACATGCGTAACGTGGTCGGTTCGCGAAAGTTTCTCGTCATTTTCGTCGTTAATCAACGCGAGGGATGCCGAGGAAAACGAGGATATGTCAAGGTACGATAAATGTCATTCTTAATTAAGGGTTAGAATTAAAAGAATAAAAGATAGAAGGTTAATCGAAATCTATTTATTCTCTTCGAAGGACGAAGAATTGAGTTTTATTATATAAATATAATTTATAATATATAAATTGTCATGTGTATAATCAATTATGTCTTATATATTGTGTAATTTATATAA